TTGTACAGCTCTCAAATGTATAAATGGCTTCACTAGAGATAGTCGCTAAAACTTTCTATTACTGTTTTGGAGTATCTTTTAAAGCATTTTGAAAAAAAAAATAATTATTTACAGGTAAGGAAAGGCTGCACTTAGAAAACTTACTCACATGGTAACTGCCCTGATTTTAGAAAAAACTGTATTTTTGCCTGCTTAAGTAGTAGGATTTGTTACTTTTCCATCATAACGTGCAAAATTTGACTTGTTCATTTTAGTAGTTTCACTGCAAAACCGGTACTACTTCAAAGGTATTCAAGTAGGAAATTCAAATCAGACTTTGAGACACATGTATGTGAAATGTTTAAGTTAACGTTGCAGGTTAGTCCTTGCCCTTTATTTGCTACTGACAAGCTGAAATCGCATGTACTGAATTCTGCTGTCAACCATTTGTGTCTCTTCGTACGCTGTTGTGTGTGTAAGGAAGATCTGGGTTATTGCAGCTCCTCCTTTGTTTACTGCAGCACTTAGAGCTGGCCTTTGCTCATGGTTCTGGCATCAACTTCCTCTGTAATACACCCATGGCCTTAATGTGATGTTTCCTCATTGTGAGTTCTTGATTTCACACCTTTCCCTTTCTTAATGTCTTGTGTACTATCTTGTATTTTAATTGCATTTACATCTTTTATTTAAAGTTTAAATGAAAGAATGAGTGCTGTGAAGTGACAGACTCATACTAGTAAATTGCTTTGGTTTTGTTTTTGTCTCAGCTGCAACCTCTCCTTCTTAACAGGAAGCAGCCCTAGATTCTAATCAATGTAAGAAAACATCAGTAGTATTGACAAAGCCTTCAACTGTGCTTCAGCAGTGAACTGGAAGGTTTTTTGCTACATATTGGAGTATTTTTTAAAAAAATACTTATATTTTGTTAGAAATAACTCATGAATGACGAGAGGGCGTAGCTCTGGAAGTCTGGTCATCTTCCCCCCTCAGCCCCTCCAACTCCCAAACCAAAACCTGTAGCTGCTTGTGCTTACTGAGGGCAGCACAGTGGTCAAATACAGTTGAAATGTAAGTGCTCCATAAAGTTAAGAATCAGTTGAGTACCAATAAGCACCTGCTTATTTCTTTCATGCATCTCCCCTGGGTCGAATAGCCATACTCAAACAGCATCATCTTACCACTTAATTACTGTATCGTGAATTGTCTTGATGTTTGGTACCCTTTGCCTCTTCCATCTTAAAATACAATCAAGTGAATTCTGCTGGTCACTGACCTCACTTCACATCACAACACATTTACTACAGAGAACAGATTTTTTTGTTGTTGTTTTTTTAAAAATAAAAAGGTTCAACTGCTTATCAGACTTGGGAATTTACAACTGCATCAAAGTTAGTGTTTACCTTTAGTGCTGATAATAAAAAAAATGAAATACTTTTGTCCACCATCACATGATCATAAAATTGCAAGTAGCACACTACCCCTGCTACAGAAAGGGGCAAAAGCCTGACCCCTGAAATGCTAAAGCCGTACAACAAACCCCAAAAAACCCACGTGCCCTTTTGTATTCAAACTACACAAAGCAACAGGGAAAAACCTTGCTGTGCTGCGGCCACTTTCTTCACAGGGCCTCGCTGAAGAGGAGAAGAAAATGCAGGCAAATCAGTCTGGTACCAGAGCTTTTCACTCTTCCTTTACCAGGCCACAGCATCAGTAAAAATACAGGTGTTTGAGCATAGGAGTCTCAAAGTCTGGTGCAAGTAGGTTTTGAAATAAAATTAAATCTGCTTGACATCACCGGCATGAGTTCATACTATACTTAATGTGGGCCTGTGTTAAATTATTTGGAATGGGTATTGTCTTACTTAACTCTACCATACGTCCAGTGCTGTGCTTGTCTTTTTCCAGCTGTAATAATTTGACACTGCCTCACAGCTTATTTGGGAGTTTGTTTTCTTCAGTATGGCTAGGTCATTGAAGAGGAAAACTAATCAGTTGTAAACCCAGAAAACTGGCAGGGAGACATGAAATAATCAGCTTTTAAAAATATTTAAATTAACTAAACAGTGGAAGTTTATGTATGATTTATTAGAAGGTTTAGTCCAACTCTCCAAATATCCAAATACATATTCAGCAGCTTGCCATATGCTCACTTAAATGTGCAAAGCAACAGTCTCCTCCTGCCCCAAAAGTTGTCTTTCAGTCCTGTTAAATAGAATTAGTGCTTTCTTAAATTAAAAATTGACAAATCATTTAACATACTTATTTGAAGACTTTGGTCCTTACTTTATGTGATTTTATGGTTTTATATAACAAAACACCAGAACCCCTTTACTGCAGCTACTTCTGCATGTAATTTGCTGTCACTGAGATGAAAAGCTTTCACTTCTGAAAATAGAAAAGGAGCACTGTAAGCCACTAGTGGCATGGATATAAATGACTTTTCCATCCTGAGTCAAAATGTGATTGTATGCTTCAGCCCAACAGATGCTTCACAAGGCAGTTAGCTCCCAGGTGACTTCAAAGCTGGGGACCTCCTTTTCAACTGGCAATGAGTGACTGGAGTGGAAATGCTGCCTACAGCAAGCTCTGCCATCCTGCCCTCCTCTCCCAGGTATTAGCACTTCTGAAGTCCTTCTTGGCAATTCTCACTGCTCCCTTCTCCAGCACAGGAAGGAGCACAGAAAATAAACCAAGAGTCAAAGGCAAAACCCAAAAATTCTTAAGCACTGCATAGAGAAGCTTAATTTTAAGCTTCCCCATCACACAGGACAGGACAGTCTCCCTGGGAACCTTCTGACACAAGTAGTTGGACCACAGGATCCAAGATCTCAGAATACACTGAAGCCATCTACAGAGGATGGTTTTTTTCCCTGAATGGAGGAAGATGAAGCTCAAACGTAATTGTTTGTATATGGAATGACCTTTATACATGATCAAGAAATTAAAACTGAGTAAAAAAAAAATTGTGCCAAATACTGAAAGCAGATCTGTTCAGTGCAACCAATTTCAAACAAAAATAAATTTATTTAAAATCTTACACAGTAGAATTTTTTTTATTGCACAAATCAAAGCATTAATCATGTTGATGTCTGTTGGATAATACATTACTTAATAAAAAACCTCTGTAATGTTGAGGTGGGGAACCCCAAAAAGTAAGCTATGTTAGAACTAGACACCATATAGCTTATGCAGCCACATGAGAAATGTTTTCTGCTGCTTTGTTATTACACAGGTAGTTGGTTCTATCAGCTAAAGCCTAGTGACTTGGATTTGTTTTATGCATATTGGGTTTTGTTCTATTACTTTCCAAGAGATTGTACTCCCCTGAGTCAGCTGTGTTCATTGGTCAGAATAAATTCCAGCATCTGACACCATTTCCATTAATCACAGACAAGCCCGTAGACATGAGCAAGATAATAGAAAGATAAAAACAATATCTACTGAATGGGAAACATTATTTATGTATGCTGTTCGCTAATACAGTAGAGGAGGTATCTGGAAAGCATTTTTTTTTTAAGTTTGAAAGACAAAATGAAAGAGAAGAAGAAGATGGACATCATCTGAAGTACCTACTCCACTGGGAAGCAAGTGTCTGGAACCACACAGGTCATGTAGCACCTCAGTAACACTTTCATCATTACTACAGCTCTGCTACAGTCATAGCTTCCCCATGTATCTGCAAGCAGTTTTAAGATAATTTGCTACTAAACAGCTGTGAAATTAATTTTTATTACACTAATCTTAAGTTGTACCTGTGAAGTTGAATACTTCACCCACCCACGCGCACATCAGTAAATAACATTTAGTATTGTCTTCCTACCCGTTACAAGTTCAGTATTGTGGATCTAAAATACAAAGCATTTTTCTTTGACATACTGAGCAGTCAAGGCATTTCACTTAACCCTGTTGTATTAAGCTGGATATGAAGCAGCAGAGCTTCATTAAAAAAGCATAAATTGTATTTATCTAAAAACAGTTCTAAAGAGGAAAATAAAAACAGGCCTCAGACACCCATAATCTATAAAGCTGGCAGTTGCAATTCAAATACCTCTAGTTCTTAGTGGCATACTACAGATACCACAAAAATACTACTTACTTATATCAACAATACTAGGACACCTAGTCCTATTAAATTAAGGCTTTGTTTCTTTAACAAAAGAGCAATTAGTAGCCTTCACCACCACACAAATAAAAAGTCAAGGTTCTAGTGCTGTGCAAAGGAGGCACAGTGAGGATTCTGTGGCAGGCACCACTATGCACAGAAGTGACTCAAGTTTCCTCCAGCA